CAGTAGCTTGATCGAGGATATCAAGGAAGAGCCTCCCCGGTTGTCCTACATCTATAGGAGACTGTGGAAATGTAATGAGTTGCCTTTCTGCGATGGGCAGGAAGACAACATAGAGCGAGCAATGATCCTTGTTCGAACGTATTCTTCTCAAACTGCCGGAGCGCCTAGAGATACTAACGATGATCGGTACAACTGCACGGTGTCCGACATCACCTACATCCTGGACACTTGGACAAAAGTAGTAACCTTGTGCTTGATAGTCTCCTGCTTGGCAACCACTTTGGTCGCTATTCCCAAGTGACCAATGAGAATAGGTGTTACTTCATGGGCGTTGATGGGAGCTATCATCAATGCCTTCCACGACAAAGGTGACAAACATACCGTCATGAGCAGACTGGACTGTATCATAGCGTGGCAGTCTGTGCACCCCATCGAGCTGTACTGGGGAATGTGCGTGTAACACTCACATAACCCCTTATATCAGGTTGATTAATGGCTAGAGTTCTGACTAACAAACTTTCCTGGTTCTTCAGATGGGGATTTGGAATATGTAGTAACTTGTGCCTTAAAATCGTAGGCCGCTCTGATGGTCTCACGCCAACTGCCTCTGCCTTGCGGTTAGGCTTTCGACCCTACTCTTCTAGACCCCAACTGTTCAGGTATGGGTGCCCTGGCAGTATTCCAGCCCATGTGCAAACATGAGTCCCGCATGTAGTTACGTGTAGTCCCATTATACATCGGCCATCGTATGGTGCGATCATTCGGGTGACCTTACTTGATTCATACAGTGGGGTGGGTAAGTGAAACCAGGCCCTAACTGATGCCTCCCTTCCCTTTCCACATATTCATTCTTCTCCCTCTCCCCGTTCCTTTGTTAGCACCATTTCCGTAGACCGGTGCATAATAACTGACCGATAAGTTCGCCACCCATTGCCGTTAGTCGCCATATTTCCGGTTGACTCGGCCGCCTCAGATTTTTAGTTCACCTGACAATCTTTGGCTTTTTGCACTTTGAAACGAGCTGAAAAACAGACTGCTCTTGCATGTTCACTGGACCCGCTTCCCATTGATGTGCTGTCTCTTTGGAACGAGGATTTACGACTCAAGTGTGGTTTTTGGAATGAGCTTCTTTTGGCTTTTGGGTGTGCACCTCTGGTGATCCAGAAGCTCTTTCGACTGGTTCTGCTGGTGTTGGTGTTCTAAGCTAATGAGTTGAAGGGGCTGTGGTTAAATGGTTACCCGCGAGACCATGCCGCAATGGGCTATATGTGGTGTGGGTCAATTACTGATTATCTCTCGTTCTGGAACAGCCGTATGGATTTGTATCAAGACCTTGTTCGCTACCGCCTCTCGTTACCCTTTTCAGGATTGAACAGGGTATGCACACTTCGGCTGGTCATTGAGAAGCTCCCTTACCCTGATATCGGACACATCTACCAAAAACAACTACCATAGTTCCTTTCGGGCAACACGTTTTCTGATGCTGGCTCTTACTGGACGGTACTACCCACAACCCTGCAAATTATTGGACATTCCGCTTGTCGAATGGTTCAACCAATTAGACCTAGGCACTGGGTCTTGATTATTACTCTGCAACTGCTCGGTGCTCGGACACGTATTTCTTTTGGTCGAGGGTACAATACCACTCACGGATTGAGAAGCTTGGTGGATCCAGAAAGCTGAAGAGATTGGATAGGCGGAACACTCGGAAAATGTTCATAAATTCCGAAGTAATCATCATCATGATCATCATCATCGATAGCATGACATCAATGTTCAACACCGACGCTTCACTGCCGTACAACCATGACTTATTTGAAAGCCTTATTGTAAAGAAAATAATAAAGGTGGATGGGGGAGGGACTTAATGCTAGCTTAACACAATCATTCCGAGGTGCCTACACCTCCAGACATTCACTCAGGCAATCTGGATAGAAACTGACAACAGGAACGCCACTGACATCGGTTGTCAGCCATATCTTGTAGCGTCTCCAACCAGGCACAGTGAGGATCACGTGGTCCCCATCCTGGAAGGCGAGTAGCACCGACAGCACCCAAGCGTTTCGTGATCTCCTTCATGCTCCTCTGCCAAGTCAAGGGTTGGCCACCTCTCTGTTTGCGCCACTTCGAACTGGGCGTGGAAAACAGTACTCTCTTCGGCAAACGATGGTTCGGCATACGTAACACATGTCCCTACCAACGCAGCTTCTGGTGCTGGACACATTCTTCAATGGAAGTA